AGCTGCGGCGGTGTTCTCTACACCCTGATCCAACACTTCTTCAGCTGCGACATCAGGCGCCTCTTGCTCTCCATGCTTGGTCCAGCAGGTATATTTCTTCATGAATCCATTCATTATCAAATGAGCATGCACTTCATCCTTGTCTTCGATCATCTGTTCATTCTTACAGTCCCTACATGGGCACAACATGTGCATGCTCATCCTACTTTTTCTGTCATTATCCGCAAATGTGACAAATTCAGTGACCCCCTCTCTATACTCGGTAGACGAACGATGCGCATAGTACATCCATCTACGATCCATCTGAAATCAACAACATACGAAGAAAAATAAATGATGATCGATATGTTGAGAATGAATGGAGAATAATGTGTTTTTTACCTTGAATTTTAGTAAAAAATCGCCCCCCTTGCCCTCCCAACCGATTTGTGAACAGTACAATGGTCGGGATGGAAAGCAGTTGGCAGTTTGGGGGTATTTATAGACCCAACACACCTCAAACGGGTTAGATAAAAAAAGCCCGTCAAAGGTATTGCTCATACCTTTGACGGGCTTCTATTCAACGGCCCGTCACTGGTATCCGCTCACCTGTGACGGGCCAGAAATGAAAGCCGTCACAGGTGGCGGCCCATCACCTCTGACGGCTTCTAATGTATCGGCCCGTCACAGGTGAGGGGATACCAGTGACGGGTTGGAAGAAAAACTCGTCACTGGTATACCTCTGACGGGTTTTCCTTTCGGCCCGTCACAGGTGAGGGGATACCTGTGACGGGCCGCGGCCAGATGCCTCACCGGTGACGGCATCCCGTATAACCCGTCAAAGGTAATGGTCAATACTGACCAATTCGTTTGCCCGTCACAGGTATCCCGTCAGAGGTGTGAGGATCTGGCGTAGTGTAAAAGAGGAGAGAGAATAGCAGCGGGCTACATATTTATAGCCAGCTACAGCACGAGCTCCAAGATACATGTGTGTATGATAAGTGAGACCAGATATTAATTGTGTATTATATATTATAGGTAACTATTGTATATATTGGCTATAAAATAAACTATAGATGATTTGTAGCCCATAATTGATTATACTATTGAACTTGCTCTAATCGATATGCTTTTCTTAAAAGTACTAGATGAGATTAAATGAATCAGAGAGAAGTTAGTGCTCTTCTTGTTCTTGATGAAAAAGTAATACGAGCAACTCAGATGGATGGAGGGAGTATCTATATGTATATCTCAGCGATAGAGCATGACTTAATTATGCTCAATGATCCTGAGTTCCTGACGTTCCGTTCCTTTAGCACAAACCAGCAGACCATCCATCATGCACAGGGAGTCAGACGTCTTACTGTAGCTCGTCTGAAAACGATCTCTAATCACAGGGAGTCTGAACTCTGAACTGCACTAAGCACTTGTCAGTTCCCTAGCTCATCATAGGCAAGCGCGGCGTATACTCTTCGATCGTAAGCTGATTTAATTACCTGTCGTTGTAAGCAAGAACAATTTGTAACTTTATATACTCCATCTTAATAAAATTTGGTTGCCGTTCCTTCGGCCGACCCAGCACAAAAAAAAAAAGCTGATTTAATTAATCTTTGTTAGAGATAGATCATCATCATCATCTCATCTCGTTAGCAACTACTCCCTCCGTCCTAAAAAAACTCAACCTAGGACCCCTCCTAAAACAACGAATCTGGATAAAATTCATATCCCTCCTAGGTTGGTTTTTTAGACGGAGGGAGTATATAACTGTGAACTTGTTAAGTACAACGGCACTCTTAAGCATTACAATGTGAGTACAAGTGCTTGCAAGTGACCTACCTGCAGAATATCGAGTGTGTCAACGGCCGGTGCTGGTTCACAGCAAGGAAAGTGTATGCATCTGTATATATATCTAGCTAGCTAGTATATATAGCGAAAAACTCAAATCATTTCATCGGATGATCAGGAATACAATTGTATGTGGTGGAGCTAGCTAGCGCAATGAACGACATAACGAGTGCCATATCCTTAATTAATCATGCTGTTTTAATTCAATATCTAATTAAATATCTAATTAACTCCTACCAGTATATAAAACTTCCGGCAAAGATCGATATTTCACACACAACATATAATGTCGACAATGTCTAGTGTATATCAAGATGCCTGTACATATCGTTAAGAGGTAGTAGTATATATCATAACAAAGAGGTATATATATGTATCAGAGAGGGAATAATCATGTCTATAAATTGGTCGAAACTACAAACGGAAATAACTTCTGACCAAGCGTGTGGTCACCGTATGTAGGGATGCAAGTGGGTAGTCCCTCTACCCGCATAAAAACCCGATTGCTAGTCTATTTCCCGTATGGTAGTACAAAATTTAGAAGAAAAAAATGAATAAGTGGTAAAAAAACCCACTTACCCATGCAAGTTGCATGATCAAAGTAGTCCTCTATTTACCAATATTAAAATATCCTTCAATATTGTCTAGAAGTTATTAATGTAATCTGGTATGTACAATTCTTGTTTCTTCTATCAATATAAATAGCACCAGCAATACGCTGGATTTTCAAAAGAAAATTGACTAGAAGGTCTTTAGAGAGAATAATCTAGCTAGCTTAGCCAGTCAACTGTACTAATACATGAGAAGGGCAGGCATGAAATATCTACATGAACGAAATGATAATAGTAGCAAAAACTTAATTAAGCATATATGTATACAACAAATGATAATAGACACAAATGTTGTACACATTATTTCTAGAAAAAAAAGTGTATCAGACAATTTGTGTCTGATACACTTTTTTTCCTAGAAATAATGCGTACAACATTTTCCGAAATTGTTGTTTTTTTCTTGAAGAATACATGCATACAAACATTTCCTGTTTAATTTTCTAGCATTATAGTTAACTGCTACTTGCATCTTAATCAATACTTATCATCACAGAATTAACTAATATATATCCAAAATCTAGACTATCAGAATGCCAGATTCATACATATGTATAGTACTTGATACAACGTACGACACACCAATAATATACGAAGAGAGATATATCATATACACACTAACCCAGCTTTTGGAAACATGAAGGAAAAATCATGTGTATAAACTCAATCAAATAAACTGTTAAAAATGATAAATCCATTGCATATTGTTTGCTTTATTGAATCTGAAGTAATATGCCACAACCAGCACAAATCCATGTTTTGTTGTTCAAACTGTCTAGCATTCCAGATCTGGTATCCGACTTGTGATCAAAGTTCAAACTACTTGTGCAGATAAATAAAGGAACCCATTGGCAATTCATGATTAATTTCTTGAGATAAGCTCATGAAATTTCTGAGAACTAATTGGGAAATAATTTTTGGATCATAGCCTGAGCTCAAGGTCTAGGCCTTCTGGATCCTCATCGGAGTTCTTGCTAGTTGACTCCCCAGCTGATGTGCTGTGTCCTCCCTCCCTCATCAGATCAATAAGTTCCTACAAACAACAGAGTTATAAACTTGTTAATTAACAAATTAGTAGAATTTCCTCACCTATATGTGCACATGACATATATTTCATGGTACTTCTCAACTATAAAACAACAAGGGGACTTAAATTAAAATAATTTTACCTGACTATTAGGTACTTGAGAGAGGGGCTGTGCCATCGTCACTTCATTTGCAGGCAGCATGATGTTGTTTGAATATGGATAATAAGCTGCTCCAAAAGCTCCAGGAGGACTGAAGATTGTAGATGTTGCATTGGTTAGACTATGAAACTGATCACAAGTTAACTGGACTGCCAATTGAGATCACATAATACATGCCTGATGTTGTTTGGATTATTGGGATAATAATAATATGCTGCTGCTCCAGAGGCTCCAGGTGGTCTAAAGATTGCAGATGTTGCGTTGGTTAGATTATATAAGTATATATATGAATCTTTGATCACAAGTTAACTGGACTATTAAGTAATAATCATATGTGTATATATAGTACATATACCCGCTGATGATGTTTGTATTGGAATAAGATGATGCTCCAAAGGTTCCAGGAGGTCTGAAGATTTGCAAAAGCATTAATTGGTTAGAATATGATAAATACATTTTTTATCACAGTTAACTAGATTGTTAACTCCCCGCAAAAAAAAACTAGATTGTTAACTAATCATATAATGCATGCCTGATGTTGTTTGGATTGGGAGGATATATTGTTCCTGCAGGAGCTCCAAGAGGTCTGGAGATTGCAGAATGTTGCACCAATTGGTTAGACCATGATGAATATAATATAATATAATATAATATAATATAATATAATATAATATAATATAATATAATATAATATAATATAATATAATATAATATAATATTTGATCAAATCAGCTGGACTGTTAATTGATCATATGATACATGCCTGATATTGTTTGGATTGGGAGGATATGTTGTTCCAGGAGCTCCAGGAGGCCTGGAGTTGCACTAATTGGTTAGACCATGATGAATCACTACTGGAGAAGTGCACATCTCTCCCGGTTCACAAGCCCCTTTACTCCTGGGTAGCGAACCGGGAGGAAGAATCCGGGACTAAAGATGGCGGTCTTTAGTCCCAGTTCAAATACCCGGGAGTAAAGCTCCATCTTTAGTGACTCAGCCACGTGGCCAACAGACTAAAGATTTTTTTTATTTTTTTTAAATTTGGTTGTGCTGTGTGCTGCCTGTACATACATATATATATATATATATATGTATATATATATATATATATGTATATATATATATATATATATATATATATGTATATATATATATATATATATATATGTATATATATATATATTATGCATATAATATGTTTAAATACATATATATGCATAATATAGAAATGTATATATTACATATATGTGTGCACATATATGTATATGCACTTAAGTAAAATATGGCCTATATTTACTGAAGTGCACATATATATGTGCACTATATGTTTTTACACATATATATATAATATAATAGTCGATCAAATTAACTGGACTGTTAATTAATCATATGATACATGCCTGATGTTGTTTGGAGCGGGATATGGCCCAGAGGCTCCAGGAAACCTGAAGATTGCAGATGATGTTGGATTGGTTAGACTATATAAATGAATCTTTGATACATATGACCGTTAATTAATCATATAATACACATGTATAATGTACCTCAAGGGGGTAGACTGAGACTGCCCAAAGTTCATGGCACCCATCCCTTCACTGCCATAATGCATCTGCAATGTAACTAATAATTATTGATAGACTGCATGATTATGTCATCCTATAATAGTACTATGTAGTGTTGATCCCACTTAGTGCATTTAATAGTATTTTGCTGGCTTCTTGTGCTTCCACGTCACTACAATTATTTTGCACCTTCCGATCTTAATCGTGAGATAAGCAAGCTATCCAGCCTACCCAAACAAAACAGACCAATTTTCATTTAATGGGCCAAAACGAAGCCATGATGTGGCTAATTAACGCAGCCCAAGCCTATATACTGATCGTTAGGTTACCACCGTGGAAAGAAGACTGATCACCCCACCCGACTGAGTCACTCGGTGAAATAGTCATAATACCTGCTGTGGCTGCAGCAATTCCTCACCACAAATTATCATTCACAATGGGTAAATCAGGGGTTAATCCCCTTTATTATCTCCGTAAACTTTTACAATTCCTCTGTTAAATGTGACCGGTGCATCCTCCTCCAAATGAACCGTCGATGTTCTTTAATCCACCATTATCTACAGACGCACAGTGTACTATATATAAATACTACCTCCTTTTTTAATAGATGACGCCGTTGACTTTTTCTCACATGTTTAACCATTCGTCTTATTCAAAAAATTTACGTAATTATAATTTATTTTGTTATGAGTTGTTTTATCACTCATAGTACTTTAAGTGTGATTAATATCTTATACATTTGCATAAAATTTTTAAATAAGACGAATGGTCAAACATGTGAGAAAAAGTCAACGGCGTCATCTATTAAAAAATGGAGGGAGTACTACCCAAGACAGTTCGTTCCTAAATACCACTTGCATCTTCCCTTCTCAGTTCTCAACCACAGCATGAATCACCTATAGTCAACAAACATGTTATCTCTTATTATCTATAAATGTTATTATCTTCACATTTTTGTCTCTATAATATCATATATTTTCAGTTCCAATTATTTTTCACAACATTTCAATTATTTTACTATTATCATATATTCTCTACCTGATAGTATTCATAGCAATGTGCAATTGATCCCACTAACTACAATTAAAACTAATTTCCTACTTAGTGAGTAAGCCACATCATGTCTTTTTATCCTACCACTGGATAGCATATGAGCGCTCAGTCGCTCAGATCACAAACGAGTGACGAATCAAAGAACCTCACTAACATGGCAATATGATCAGATGGACCACTGGAAGCTGAAACAAAAAGTTAGAGATAAAGATGTCATGGGTGGCGTTCCTTCCATCTTATGCTTGCGCTACTTTTATCTCATGTAACTGACACAAAGTCAGCTTGCATCCTGAATGTGTTTTACCATAACTAATTAATGCCTTCAATGACCATTATTTAATCTCAATTTACTATTATCATTTATCAACCCCCTTAATTTCTTATTCGATCGATCCTAAATCCACCGTTGTCATCTTGATTTCTCCTTCTATAGCTATATATATATGCATATTACGTTGTTCTCTCGCTTCACACAAATTAAACTACTCCATCTCTTATATTTTCTGTTGAGATATACGGTATCTTCTAAGACATGCATGGATCATGAGCAACTAAATAACAGGTTTCTCTCTATGGCATATCATCATCGATTGCTGTTTTTACTTACCTCTGTACGTTTAGCCCTCTTCCTTTTGCTTTTAGTTTTCAATCTCTTCCTATTTGTTGTTTTTCATACATCATCGTGTGCTTCTAATAACATATTTAACTCATTTCTTTATGATGTTACCACAAAATATTCTTTGTTCTCCAGCAGAGGTGATTCATTGTAAATATAAAAATGCAATCATAAATCTTAAGGAGTATGATGGACCGAAAGTAGTTACATGCACAAACACGTTGCAGAAGGAAGATATGATCAAGCAACAACTATCAGATTGCCAAGCTTTTACCATTAGTTACGTAAAAAATGGAGTACATCACCTTCAAACCATGATTCTCAGGAAGATGGTACCAATAGCAAAATAAAAATTTATCATTTTTTTATGCTATATGTCTTCCTGCCTCCGTTTGATTTGCATGTTTCTATGTGTGACCGACTGGATATATGCATTACTGTAACTATTATATAACTATATTTTATATGGCAGCATGTGCTTCAATTTTTGTTAATCTAAGAATTCCCACAACAACGCACGGGGTATCTTCTAGTTATATATATATCTTCTCATCTTGAAATAATATCATTTCTTGTTTCTTTTTTTTCTTTCTTGCTGACAAGAATACTATTGAAGTACTTTGGACACATAAACATAGAGAGATTGAACAAAACCTCGATCTAAAATGAGAAAAAAAATCAGTCTTAAACAACAACTACTACTAGTACTACTGATAGAAGAAAAAAAAAATTCTATACCGCGAGATGTGGTGAGTAGTGTGCAGGCGGTGGCAGTGAAGGGGCAACGTTGGCATGCATAGACCATGGATAGACTGATCCCCTTATTGCAGCTATGTCCTGTTTGACAGATCCATTTCAAAAAGACTCATCCGGTTACATTAAAAAATAAATCTATAAAATTAAACATGATAACATATACAATAGATCATAGAAAATTAATTTAATCAAAGGTACACAAATCAAACAAAAATCGACGGATCCGCATCTGTTTGCTAATTATAATTTATTTAATCTTATTTAATATAATTACCAAGCCATCGGTAGTTCCATCTGGGATCTGAGGTGGCCCCTGCTGAGCGTTTTGCCTTTTTTCCTGCTCGGCTAGTTCGTTCTTTCTTTTTTGCTCGGCTAGTTCACTTTGAATCCTTATTATCTCTAGCTTTGCAACCCCAAATCCTCTCTTCCTTTCCTTGGGCTTATCATCTTTCTTCTTCTTCTTGTCACCCTTCCTCTTCCAAGGATCAGATGAACCATCATCCCTGTTGCCTCCTGCACCTCCTGCATGCATCATCTCTGGATCCCCTTTATCTAGCTAGGTATATAAGCAGTACATAAAAAATTCAGAAAAAAAATTGATGTTTAGAACATGAAAGCAAAGTAGTTTAGGTTCAAAGAGAAAGAGAAAGAGGAAGAGAGAAAGATAGATCTTAAGCACATACCCAATTATTGGTAAGATCTTTTCTTTCTGACTGAGACTGAAGAAGAAGAAGAAGGCCTGGCGGCTGCTGGGTGGAAATTGTTTTTCTAATCAAAACATGGGTATTTATACTGTAGAGATGTCACCCTGAACCCTAGAGGAGAGGCAGCGGACAAATGAATCTTGAACCTTGATGACATCCGACGGTTTTAGATTTGATTTCCTTGGAGATGAGCATCTTATCATCCATCCGTTTGTGACTGTGGAGTTTATTTACAGCTAGCTGCTAAATTTGGATTCACATTATTACACCAAAAGAGAGAGATAAAAAAAAGTATATATGGCCATAGTTGGAACAAATGGAAAGCAGCTGGATTATGTTTGTGTGTGATAAAACGCTAGCGCAGAAACAATACAATAGCAGCTGGCGATTTCGAGCAAAATAGGATACTGCCAAGATATATATAAAGTTGATAAGTGCGGGGTTTAAGTGAAGGAAGAGTGTTAAGAGACCAGTTCACACACTGCGAGCTATGGAAATTTGTCTGCATGCCAATTTTACAGAACACTGGCAATCGGCCGTTCTCTCCTTTCCCCTGGACTTGCAAGCTGTCAGTTAATCAAAGCAGCAAAAATAGGTGTATCTGGGGATTGTTTTTGGCCCACAAATTTGGTGTTCACGTTTTTTTTCTTCAGTTTTTGAACTTGAAGTCCTGGTGATTCTCGTGACTTCTACAAATTGATCATTAGACGAATTGCAGCAACCTAGCTGATGTAAGTTTATTCGAGCAAATCCTTGTTGTCTTATAATCAAATGCTCTTGTAGCATGCATGAAGAAGTAGTGTAGAAGTTCACATATATAGTTGATAGGATTTTATATTGCAACACGCATAACATGATGATTATTAGCTAGCTAGTCCATATATATCATCATCAACTTGTTTAAAACCACCATTAATTTGAGATTTGGGAAGATCGCAGAGATACCTAGTTAGCTGATGGATCCGCAGGTTTAATCACACAGCATATCAGAGTTTATTCGTTTGTTGGTATGTGTTGAATTAGTTTCTAGCTTGAAGATTGAGATAGAGATATGGTGCACTGCTGCGTATCACTGAGCAATAATACTATAATATATTTTCCTCGTCAGCTAACCAACCAATCATGTACAGGAAAAGGCAGGCATTAAGGACTACGTATCCTGGTGTTTATCTGCACCCTGCATATGCAGATTAATCAATTATACATGCATACTAGATCAGGATCGACATGTTGGACATGGTAGTTAGCTGCATAGATTAATGGGGTGTTAATATATGATTATGTGTGCTTTAGTTTCCTGTTGGATGTTGGTTTGTTTTGGTGCAACGCAATGTATCAACAAGGACACAATAGAACAAAGAGAAACGGTCATAGGCGAGGATATGAAAATCAACAAATTAATAATGCTTTTTATTTTTTAATTTTTTTATAAAAAAACTGCTGCTAGTTTCAGATATATATATATATATATATAGAAATTTGTTTGGTGCTCCATGGTGCCCGGGCACCATTGTTGAAATTGAGTATATACCCAATTCAAATGAGCATGAAACTTTTTCAATTATTTAGGTATTAATATTAACTACTTTACTAACTAGTTGAAAGCAAGTTTGAACTGAATTTGAACTTGTTTTTGTTAGATTTTGATTCTAGGTATATAGCATCCATACATATAATTAGTTAGGTATGTAATCATGGATTGTGAAATAAAGTTAAATTTGAGTTGTTTTGTTGATAGGTATAGGTATGAATCGAATTCTTATAACTAGGTATATACTCACAATTTGAAAATTTTGAAAAATTTGAGTGATTTTGTGCATTTGAAACCATGGTGCCCGGGCACCATGGTGCCCCATATGAGTGTCATATATATATATATATATATATATATATATATATATATATATATCATATAGCTCATTGTGTTTATTTGGATGATCACAAAGACCTCGATCGGCATCGATCTATGATTATATCATAGCTCAACGATCATGGTGCATTGATAGATTGAGTACTATATTGATTACTGTGCAATCTAAAAAATACGCTACTAGCTAGTTTTAGATATCATCGTATAGCTCATAATCATTTATGTGTGGGATTGAGTAATTTGCAAATCTCAAAGAAATATAACTGATATGCACAGATTTAAAAAAATCATATGTCTATCAACATAGAGATTGACTCTTTATTACAAATTAATATGCAATAAAAATAGGATAATGCTTATCATGTATAGTTATTGAGTTCTGATCTTTAAGAGATATCGAGGTTATATATACCAAAAATAATTCAGTGCCGCACCCACACACACACTCGGATTAAAGGATTGTAAAATAATTCAGTTACTATATATTTTCAATTTTATCCACTTCTAAGACGACAACTTTACTATGTCAATATAAATGCTCGACCTAAATTTTATCGGCTGAAATCTTCCGGCCGACCCGGTTAAAAAGATAAATTAAATGGCGCATTGATCAAAACCGCACATATGTATACCGTATGTTACAACTTAATAAGCCTTTTAAAATTTAATGAAAGCTATTGGCTTGTCGTGAAGGTTTAGCTTTGGCCGTTGAATGGGTTAATAAGCCAGCAGTGCTAGAAACATATTGCTTATCTATAGTTAATGCACTAATTCTCATAAAGAGAACCGATCCAAGTGGTGCCATATTATCACTGATATGCAATGTACAAAGGAGTTGCTTTCAGAGGTGAGGATTTGTCATATTGGAAGAGGATGCAACAGGGTAGCTCATGAGTTAGCGCAATTGGCTAGCAGAACGAAGCGTTGTGTTCTTTGACAAGAGCATGTTCCTACCTACATACAAGGCTAGCAGAATGAAGATCTCTCTTCCTCGCAAAAAAATAATCAAAGCTCGATTGGTGGTCTGATTTGGATATATGGTTCTACATAATTGTATCTATGGTATAATGGTGTATGGTTAATTGTGGGAGTGACAATGCCAGGTTTATATATATATATTATATTTACTTCCACACTAGGTAGCTTGTGCCTACATCAGTTGGGCCAGAATTTCCGCATTACTAATGTTTCGATATATGCACACAATATGATAAAGAAAAATGTTCTTCATTCACAGTAGTTCTGATATATAGTGCTACCTTTTGCATACACCACCCCTTCCATAAGAAAACGAATTTCTGACTATGAATTTGAACATATATACCCTATGTTCAGATTCGTAACCAGAAATTATTTTTTGGGACGAAGGAAGTATATACAAGAGAGATAAACATGTGCTTCAATGCATGTGCATGAATGCATGCTATTATGTAAGATTACATGTAATGCATGCATGGTCAGGTAAGATATGATATGCCACTGACGAATATGGGCCTGTTTGGCACAGCTCCAGCTCCAGCTCTACCCCTCCTAGAGCTGGAGCTCAGCCAAACAGTTTCAGCTCCACCAAAACTGGGAGTGGAGCTGGGTGGAGCTCTCTCACAAAATGAACTAGAGTTGTGGAGCTGGGTTTAGGCAGCTCCACAACTCCACTCCAGACCCAACTCTTGGAGCTAAATTTAGGAGTTAGAGCTGTACCAAACAGGCCCTATATATCCAAACTTCCTCATCATATTATATCATATATGCTTGATACAGTACGACCTATATGCATGAGTGCAGTAGACGATGATGCCTAACATGGTGTCAGCATGCATGAATGCATGGTGCAAACTAAATGGCAAAATAGAAGCACAAGAGAGAGAAAGATCTTGGCCTGTTAGGTGCATGTGTAATATTTTTTTTAGACAAGCGGTATGTATAATTATTGCATCGGCATTATATATATCTAGGATCAAATGGCATAATGGGCCTCTAAAAATTGTGTTGTCTCAGCAAATGAACTCTTTTTTTAGGGAAAGCAAATTAACATAACGTACCTCCCCCTTGTTTGATCTCTGCATCAGTAGTATATAGGCGACCGCAACATTGACTCTGTCGTTTCGAAGATTTTACCACGGATATATCGAATTTTTGCAGCATCTCCATCATATCATTATTATACAGTACATATATGTATCCACCAAAAAAAAATTAGAAAATGTAGAGAAACTCCCCACAGCATCATCATCATATATCCATGGATGACTTTCAGAAGAACTGAACTGTATATACACTCCAAATCAAGTTTTACAAGTTCTACAAATCATAACTAACCAAATTCCGGCACTCGGTTTCGTAACTCAACGTCGACACACTGCAGTACAGTGCTACCTGCTTTAAAGAAATTTCTTCGATGTGTGTCATGTGTGCTTCTTATCTTGTTCATTGCTCCCTTGATCATGCATGCATTACATCACAGTGATCATAATATACTGCAAGAATACTTAAAGTTTTTGAGGCATGCATGCATCAATAAATCAGTAGGGAGAGCTAGGTTAACTGAGATTAATTAGCAGGTAGCCACATGATACAATATCCACTGAAGATGATCATAGCTTGAGCTCAAGGTCTACTTCTTCAGGATCATCTGAGTTCATAGAGTGATCTACCGGTTGGTTTAGGCCGTAGTGTCTCCTTAAGTAAATGGATTCCTACAATTAATTAATGACATAGAAATGGATTATCTTGGCACAACCATATTGTATAAACTATTAACACATCTCTTCAATATAATTAAATTAATTAGGTGTGTATACCTCAGGTTCGAAGAGAGGCAATGTGTGGTCGCTGCTGGGATGAGAGTAATGAGCTGCAGCTCCATATATAGCTTCATGGTTAGGCGGTGACCTGAAAGATTAGGAACTAATTAACATACATTCAGGCATCCTGTGTTAATCACTGATCATATTGTTGTTTAGATATATAATTAAACTTCAATTGATCATCACTGGATAATTATTATTTCGTGCATGCACATGTGTGTATAAAGACGAGCACCTGATGATGGGACTCGTTGATTGGAATTCGCCGTATCTGATATCTCCTGATCTGCTCCCTCCATAGGCCATCTATAATTGCAGATTTGCAATATAGAACCAAGCTAAGTTAGTTAGGTCGAACTGTGTCGGCCATGATAAGATCTCTTTAGCTAAGCCAAGGATATCACGTTCACGTGCATGGGGGAATAAAATCTCTTTAGCTGCAATAATACTCTTGTTCTTCTCTGTGCACAAGATTAATCGACAACCATATATATGCATCCTTTTGCCAAAAAAATAATGTTTATTATCACGCGTTCTAGGCTTGATGCAAATATGCAATACACTACTGTAGCTAGCAAAGCACGCCAGCAGCTGGACCTGGAAGCAAATATAGTCAATAAGATGAATTTGTTGTCTAACTTTTGTAGATCTCTTATGGACTATTCATTTTTTTTATGTTGGGCTGAAATGATTAAAAAACAAAGAGTGCATATTTCGTTGAAATTAATCTTAGAGAGAGGTTGATTAATCTGTCTAGAAACCAAGAAAATATGTAGTAACAATTTGACAAGATTTATTGGCAGATCTCTGAAATTCTGTCAGTTAGCTAGTATGCATTTGGTGAACAGCTGAAAGAACTGCATATACCGCTAAATTGGGGTGGATGGGATAGGAGTTGATGTTGGCAGGGAAGGAGGACGATGGAGACGATGACAGCGAGTTAGATGACCGTGCATCTTCCTGCTGCTCGATGGATGATCAATTCCAAAACCACATGAAATCAGAAAAGAAATTAAACTTGAGCAACCAGCAAGAATCACAAAATTACTAAAAAGATGCAGAAATTGGTAGTCAGACTAATTTACCAGGTTGAGGCTGTCAATTCCATGGATCGGAGGTGGCTGGCCAAGAGGAGGATTCTGCAGGTAGCCGGCTGCCATTTCGCTCTGAATCCTGATCTTCTCGAGCTGCGCAACGCCGAGCCCTCGCTGCGGCTGCTTTGGCTTGTCGGAGCCGCTGTTTCCGGCTGATCTCTTGCCCTTCCTGCTGGACCCAAATGATCTTCCTCTTCCTGGCCATTCCATGTTCATTTGTCTCCAAAGTTGCTAGCTTTCATATGGGGAAATTTCTAGTACACCAGAAGAGAACTGATCAGAAGACCTAGAAGAAGACCATAGCTAGCAAAGTGGGAGCAAGAAGAAAGGGAGAAGAAGTTGGATGATGGAAAGGAGACTCTTTGATATTAAAGTGAAAGGGAGAGATCTCCTTACCTTACACACACATTAATTAATAATAGGAATGCACTGCAGGTTGCAGCATTGTTTATTTGATTTTTTTAATTTGATCTTATAGCGTGGCAATGGCTTCATTAATTGGTTTATATAATCAGCACCATGTGACCCAAATCCTATCACTAAAAGAAAAGGAGAGAGGAGTTTAAATTAATTCCCATTGTGTTGATTTGTTCGGGGATGATCACTGAAAATCTTTGTCTTCAAAATGCCCCCCATTTAGAATTCGTGTGGTTGTGATTTAACATTCTGTATTTTATTCAGCACTGAGCACAAATAGAAAGGGTCCTGAATTATTGTTGTCAGTAAGGAGGATTTTAATTTCTTCTGAACATGAGTCCTTCCTCGTATTAAAAAATAAACTTTTACGATGCTTAATTAGGAGATGCATTAAGAGGCAGATGTAATTAAGTAGTGCAACTGATGATCTCTTATGCAGGCTGTTTGTTTAACAATGACTGCACAGCCATATACTAGTAGTAACAACGTATTTCCTTTCAATTAAAAAATACTAGTTACACATAATATATATATACTACTAGTAACTGTACTCCCTGAAAAAAGGCTAACTTTTGTAACGAATCTTAAATATAGTCTATATCTAAATTTATGTCCAAAAGTTATTTTTTTAGAACGGAAGGAGTAATTCTGGAGAGCAGTAGAGACGTCGTGAGACATATCCCAAAAGCAATACCTAAGCAGGTGTAGTAATGTCGACATGATGGATCAGTTTGTGTAACTGACTACGTAGCATATATATAACTAAAGAACTAAGCTAGAGCTAGCGACATCTACACGAGATTTAATGGAGAATTTAGTAATGTTTTGGGAGATGCAGAGAGGGTGCAAAATCTTCTCGGCGATCTCGGGAATCAGAAGCTTCGCTGGCTGCTGCATATGCATGGTTCAGACTCATCAGCTTGATCAGAGAATTCAGACATGGCGCGTGGGTTGGGATCGCAGTTTAGGTGGAAAGCATCCTCCTTGATCGAATAAAAATGCAACCACACATATATTGATATACATATACAACCTGCATTTTGATCGTACTCTTATGAGATTTAATTATCTTATGTAAGCATATAGTAGTTAGAAGCCCTGTCGTCGATCGTTGTTGCTTCACGTGCGGCCTGGATCTTCTTGCTGCATGAGCTGATGATAATTAACCTTGGAAAATAGTCACTGAGCTAAGGCAGCAAATCAAATAATGGAGCATTAATTAATTTATGAGGAATTGCAAACACTGATAAGTATACTTAACCCTGCATTTTCCGCCTGATATATAATATAACTGAACTATCCCTATATATATATAGCTATTGAAGGTCTGATCAGTCTGGTCCACAGTAACTGAATTAGGGTTTTTGTTTCTTGGATGTGATTTTGTGACACCTTGTTGGTTAGTCCTCAAGATAGCTATATTTATATATATGATATTACAACATTAGCTTTACAACCTGTGCTGCAAGTGGATCAACTAATTGATGACCTAACTAATTTTTCAGTTAATTAAATAAGAGAATATTGAGATTTGCAGCATCCATTCCTCTTGAACTCCTTAAAGGAGACAGCACCTAAGCTAATTAAGCCCTTGATGTATGACAACAAGCTTATTGCAATTATATATTTATGCAACTTAATTAATCAATTAATAACTAGGAGGTAGTGATCAAACAGTGTTTAGAAAACAGCAGCACGCCGTGCATGCTCCTCCATATTTTAGTTGCATGAGTAGGCAGAGCTTTTCCCAGACTAGCTAGCTAGTTAATTGGGGCTGTTCTTTTCCTTTCTACTTAACACCAGTTGCTTAAGTATAATGAGTACTCCCTCCCTCCCAAAATATAAGTATTTTTGGACTCTGACACGATCCGAGATACTATTTTGACCAACAATATTTATAAAAGTAAGATATTTTAAATAAAAAAGTTGCATATTATGATAGTTTGTTTAATAATAAATCTAATAACTTCAATTTTACATGATTAATTTTTTTTATTAATAGTCAAAGTTAAAAATGTTTAACTTGTCACTATGCTAAAAATACTTATATTTTGGGACGGAGAGTAATATATATTGCCATTGGTAATTTAATGAACTACCTCAATAGCCCAGCACCATTTCGGGGATTTCTTCAGAAAGGCTAACTTGAGAAACTAGATACCGGGCCGGCCTAAATGTCTAGAAAAGTTAGAACAGGATAAATTAATTAAACTATTCTTTCTGATGCTTCAGCAAAAAGCTAGCTAAACTGAGGGCCTTGTTGCTGCTACTTTGCTGCTTATATATATTAAAACGAAAAAATGAAGGATATATATATAGTACCATGCAGTGCTGCTTTACCTCATCACTGCTACCTTGGTACACACACATATACTATATATTAGTCAGATTGTCTAGAACATCTCATATCTATTATATTTCCTGCTTTCATGCCAGCATAAAAAGAGAACATTTTCTACGTACACCCACTAGGAACAAAGTTCAGAGAGAGGCTTGGCTAGCTTTTTTGTTTTTGTTCATTGATATGATCAGATGTGACTTCATCTAGCATCATGCTGGTGCTTAACCCTACATAACTCGTATTATTTGATGAGCAAGCACATGTGGTCCTGGATTAACCATACAATTCTCTCATAATCACCATATTTATTGCTAATCAGGGGTTCGCTATCACACTAATCCCCTTGTATCTGGCATGCTAATGCAATTATAAAAAGAGGTATGAAAGAGAAAGAAAGAAATAAAAGAATCAGTAGTTCTTCTAGCACTGCTTAACAGAATAAACAAAAAGAAGAAAATTCAGAACGGCAAGCAAGTAGCAGTAGCAAACTGTTAATCACGGTGACGGATGGATCCAGCCATTGACTGACGCTAACATCCCATGGCCTTTCTTGATTCATGATTGGATTGCGTTGCGTGCTACAGGCTTATAATAATTCATAGATTCAAAGCGTTCGTGTCATTGATCTCATCAAGAACTTATTTTAAATTCCACAGAAGAAACACACGTAAGTTCCGTGTTGAAAATGTACTCGTATTTTATCTGCATATTTGATTAATGCACTACCAAAGAGAATAATTCCGTCCGTGATTTGCCCAGTAATTCTAGGAAATTAAACTCTAGTTCTTCCATTTTGACAGCACTGTCTAGTTTTGCTTCTGAATTCTGAATATTTCTGAATTTCACTTGATGTTGTAAGCAGTCCATGTGGCCCATTTGTATGCAACTACAGAGACAAGGCCCAACAAATTACCGGCCTGCTAAACTCAATCCAATCGAAAAATAGGCCCCAAAAAAGAAATAGAAACAAAATATTTCTCTGAAAATTATTCCCGAAAAAATATTTCTCTGAAAATGGCGTGAAACTGTGCAGGCACATGTACTGTGGAAAATGGCGTCGAACTGAACTGTAGCAAGGAACAGTATCAGACTCCTTTTCGGGTGATGAACTGATGATGCGATGGACGACTCTCCATCTAGGTAGCTCGAATCTCCTTTTCTCCCTGCAGTTCATGCACATGTATCTGAATCTGAAAGCTGCCCCAAGATTTGACAAGAACAGGCCTCTTTTCTTCTCTGCCATAATACAAGAATCCCAGGATGGCAAAATTCACATTTCAGCAAGTATTTTCACACACAGTGAACTGAACATATACTATGCTACTGTAGTGAACTGAAGTGGACGCTGCAGTAGGAATACAATCGCTTTGTTTGGTCAGTTTGGTGTTGCAAAAACTGAAAAAAAAAAGAGAGAGAGAGAGAAAGAAAGGAAAAGAGGAGTCCTGAACTTCTGAAAAGGAGTCGTCACACACAGTCATTCAGTCAGTCAGTCAGAGAGTGTGTCAGTCAGGCTCTGACAGATGCTAAAGTCAACTATTCGACGGTGCGATAAAAGAAAAGAGTGACGAGGAGTGTCTGAATTCTAGTAAAGCCTTTTGCATTGAAAAGCAAAGCAGATGCCAAAGCGAGAGCGAGGAGGATGGCAAAAGCAGAGGAATTGGCCGGTGAAGATGAACAGTCGCTACTGCAGTTGCTGCGTTTTGCTGCTACCACCAAACGGGCTCAGCAGCAGAGGCCAGAAGCTATTTCAAGCTCTCTCGGCGAAAGATGCAGCGAATGGTGTGTTTGTCTGGACAGAAATATGGGCGTTGGGAATGGCATTGCCAGCGTCGTCTACTGTTCATTTGCTATCACCTTGGATTCTTTTTCTTTTTTGCTTGCTCGTTTTCGTGAAACTACTCGAAAAATGCATTGCCTGCTCCTCTTTGTTTCGGTACCAACTGATGAAATGGAACAGGAGTTTGATGGTGTGTAAGTTAACAAGGCTTGAATCTTCATGTTACATGTAGAGGGAGTTTGAATTATGCCTGGCGGATGAAATTTTGAAATTTTGATGGTTGAGTAATTGAATGGAAAATTTGGGGTAATGGAGCAAGATGCGGCATGCAGCGTGGGGACAAATTTCAGGGAACAGATCGTACACATTCATCACAAACCTACAGTGGTGACCACAACTCAGTCGCCAAAGGGGACAGCACCGTTTTAATCGCTCACCCCCAACACGCTGGGCCCACCCCTTCCCTGTCTCACTCTCTCACTGCGGGTGGGGCCCAGGATCGCGAGAGGCTGGCTTCCTGGGCCCACATTGTCAGGGCTCGCCGACGCCGTCCCACGCGAGGCCGAGGCGGCCGCCCTCCTGCAGCGCGCGCAGCAGCTGCGCGCCCTTGCGCCGCCCCCGCGCGCTGCACTCCCCCTGCATCGCCGCCACCACCGCCTTCACCACCTCCGGCGGCGGCGGCGACGGCGGCGACGAGGCGGCCTCGTCGCCGTTCCTGCCGTAGATGGCCGCCAGGACGCCGATGGCGCACTCGCGTCCGCGGCCGGCCATGCCCTCCACGGCGCGCGCCAGCACGGGCGCGGCCAGGGGCTCCCTCCGCACGGCCGCGGCGCCGCCGGCGGCGGTGCAGAGGAGCTCCAGCGCCGCCAGCGCGCGCTCCGCCGTGGCCCCCGCCGGCCCGGACGCCGCCACCGCCTCCACGGCCGCCGACGCCGCGCCGGCCTCGACGGCCGCCTCCCTGTTCCCTTCTTCCAGCAGCACGACCAACAGCACCTTCGCCGCGAGCCTCGCCGTCTCCGGCTCCCGCACCGCCGCCACGACCCCGGCCACGACGGCGACCGGCACCGCCCTCGCCGCCGCCTCCATCTCCCTCTCCACAGTCCGCAGCGCCGCCACCACCTCCCCCGCCGCGAACTTCTCCTCCGCGCTCATCATCACCGCACCCCCACCCCCACCTCCACCACCTCCTCCTCCTCCCGCCGACCCCGACGCTTGCGGCGGGTGATGCACCGGCAGCCTCCACTGCGTGAAGCTCTGCGACGCCGAAGACGAGGACGACGACGAGGACGACGACGGCCCGACGCTCCTCTGCACCGCCGCACCCTGCTGCTGCTGCTGCTGCGGATGCTGATGATGACTACTCATCTCCACCGCCGGCGCCGCCGCCTCCACGACCGGCGACGCCGCGGCCGCATCCCCGCCGCACGGCGTGCCCGATCCGCCCTTGGCCCCGCCCATCCCCGCCACGACATTGTTGTTGGGCGTGGCCGTCGGGCTGAGCGCCGGGTGCGTGCAGGTGCTGAAGATCCCGCACGAGAAGAGCGCCCTTGGGGACGGCTTGAGCCTCGCCGCGCCGCCGCCGCCGGCGGCCGCCCCGCCAGGCTGCGCGCGGCTCATATTATCCTCTAGGCTTCTAGGTACCTAGCTATAGGCTATAGCTAGCGAGCGAGAGAGCGAGCAGAGTGGAGTGAGGAGCAGCAGTGGGGAGATGGGAGTGGCGGGATGTTGATATGGAGGGAGGTGGTGGGGGCAAGCGGGAATTGAATGCGATGCGAGGGTGGTGTGCATGCATGTGTGGAGGAGGAGGAGGAGAGGAGATCCCCCGGGCAGCGCTGCGCCGCGATGCGATGGCGTTTAACGGCGCGGTGAAAAGTAAATATGCGGCGAGTGCATGCAGTGCGGAGCAGGTGGTCTCTCCTACTGTCACTATCTCAAAATCTAAATAACAGATTTAGGATGAGATGAGACATATTCTATTTATATTGGTAATAACATGATATTTCGTTATTCAGATTTATATTATTAAAATATATCATATTTAATCATATATTCTCATATTTTATATATATTTATATCTTAGGATAGACATAGTACCTACTACCTTCGTCCCAACTAGAAAATGTCATGTATTAGACTAACTTATTTTGAGATGGTGGTAGTACTAATCACAAGTTGGTTATTTATGTGACATGCAATACAAATACCAATATTTTAAGGGAATAAAAAATAAGGACAAATAAAGTTATCAACAATGTTGCAAACGCCCCCAGGGCACACAAGGGAAAGCCTTAGGGATGGTAACGGGGTGGGGTTAGGCCCTAACGGGAAAATTGCCACCTTGGGAAAGCCTTTATTTCGTTTCAAGACGCAGCTGATGAGTAACCAGCTGATAAGAAATAAAGATGCACTTCTTTTTAATCTTTTTACCGTTAGTTAGTTTAGCTATTGATTTATAGGATCTGAATATAAATCAGTTATAAGAATTCAAGATTTTAGAAGATACCGTAACTATTAGAACCCCTCTAAAGTCTAAACAACAGGGACGAGAGCGAGCCATGAGCTGGGGGGTTCCATATTCGAAGCGCTAGCTGCGAGTGCGGAGCTGCGAGCGATAGCGAACCGTGCGCGAGGTACGGAGCACTGCGCAGCAATAGTCGATGAGGACTGCGTCGGATCTGGGGATGTGCAATCATGCATGCTGCCGCCCGTCGCTGCTGCTATGCTATGCTGCCGGCGAGAGCGACGGCACGCATCTGCATTATTGGACCGCCTGTCATCGCCGATCCAACCTATTCCTACCTCCTACTCTTCTTCCGTCCTTAAAAAATTTCCGTGTCCAACGTTTAACCGTCCCTCTTATTTAAAAAAATTATGAAAAAAAAATTAAAAGGACAAGTCTTGCATAAAGTATTAATAATGTTTTATCATTTAACAACAATAAAAATATTAATTATAAAAAAAATTCATATAAGATGGACAGTCAAAAGTTGGATACGAAAATCTAGTGTTTATCTTTTTTTTTTGGACGGAGGGAGTACCATTTCGATTTCTGTCCACGCAAAGAACACTTCTTCCGTCCAAACAAAACTTAATCAAAAATAAGTCGTGACATATAGTGAAACAGCGAATCTACAGAAGCTCTGGTTTAAACTCATTGTTTGAAAATAGGTCACATCCTATTTTAAATTAAGTTTTTCTTTTTTAAGATGGAGAAAATAGAGCCAAGCTTAGCTAGGATCGTGTCTCATCATACTACTAGAGTAGAAGTATCCAAGAAGAGCTAGCTAGCCACACGCATATAACGTGTAATTCAATCGCTGGACAGATCATGAATGGATGGATGTATATATATGCATGGACAACGAACAGATCGAACTAAGGAAAGTACGTGTGCGTTGGATATATACTCCGTACATGCAGGACCATGTAATGTACTCCCTCCGTATTTTAATGTATGACGCCGTTGACTTTTCGACCAACGTTTGACCATTCGTTTTATTCAAAATTTTCGTGCAAATATAAAAGTATTTATATCGTACTTAAAGAACATTTGATGATGAATCGAGTCACAATAAAATAAATGATAATTGTATAAATTTTTTAAATAGAATGAATAGTCAAACATCGAATAAAAAGTCAACGGCGTCATATATTAAAATATAAATATGGAGATAGTAGTATCATATACAGCTCGTGACCTCGTGTTGGCACAGCAGTACACGCCCCCTGACGGGTGTTCATTTAAGGTGATGGGCATGTCCGTAGAGTGACATCCATAAAACTCCAGTTTGTTGTTCTTCCACGCCAACGAATTGAACGAACTTGCCCGCGAGATCGGCTCGGTTAATTATTCGGGAGTAGTAGCCGGCTAGTCGCAATGCAGGAGGGGCCCAGGGACCATGTGACCGGAGGGTGCTCGCCCACTGGGGCTGTCGACTCGAGTGTGAGTAGGATGGATGCGGGCCCGTGGCCCGCAGTTGGCATGCTCTAGTTTAACTAAATAATCAATTCAAAATAAAATCTATGGTCTCTGTTTCATTTTTATATTACAAATTGTTTGATTTTACAAAATAAATATATTATCAATGTTAAATTTAATGAGACTAATTTGGTGTTGTAGAGGTTGTTAATTTTATCTATATATTTGATCAAACCTAAAGAAAAAAATTCAAATGGCTTATAATATGAAACGGAGACAGTGGCTTATTTTGGCCGAGTTTAGTTTTTTTTTTTGAAACTTTTAACTTTTCCATCACATCCAAACTTTTCTACACACGTAAACTTTTAACTTTTTTTTATCACATCATTCTAATTTTAACCAAACTTTTAATTTTAGCATGAACTAAACACACCTTTTATTGAAATAGAGAGAGTGAACCGTCATTCACACCTCGATGCATAAAGGCTACAATTTATGTATGGGTAGCCTCATGCCTTGTGCATTCTGCGCCATGCACATGACACGTACATGCAGTCGGTGAGTCGGCTGGTTTGTTTTAGTTCAACTAAACAATCAATTTTAGAAAGTTTAAAACAAAATTTAATTAGTTCATCCAGCTGGTGAATTAGAGTGAGTGAATCGTTACTCGTGGAATGGTTCACACCTCGATGCATGGAAGATAGAGGCTGCGGTTTATGAATGGACGTGCCCGTCGATCCATGGCATATATGGTCCCTCCCGGCTGAGACGAGTCCCAGACCTGTCGCTGATGATGCACCGGGCGTCGCAGTGCACGTACGACGAGCTCTCTCATGCCAGCCTTACACATGCCTTGTGCGCGCGTGCCGTGCATATATATACGACGCACACGCGTACCTGCCTGCAGCTGGTGGATCCAATGCGTACGTACGTACGAGAGGCCAGGATCGAGCTACGCAGCTTGTGAACGATCTGTGTGCTACGTTTAGTTGTTTCGATCACACAGATGTTTTACTCACGCGCCCCCACCACACGTGCCCGTTGCAACAGGCATCCGGATATAACGAAAACGTCCTATTAAAGAGGATTCGTTTTATTTTTTTTCCCACAAACAATGTTTCAGCTAGCGTATTCGTGATGTTTTACTATGCATAGATGAAATGTTGCAGTAAAATTTTTATAATGTGTTTTAATAATTTCATCTTAATGGACACGTGATTTGTTGATATACACGGGGTTTAAGTATTGCAATGGCTTTAAATCGTTTGTTGCATACATTGAACCAAATTGTTTGATCTAGTGATCTGATCGTGTTTCACTTTTTTTAAAGAACTGAAACACTCTTTTCGATATTCATTGAAACATTGTTTTTATATAGGGTAAAACAACGTCCGATTTTTTAGAAACCGTTGTTTCATACGTTGTAACAAAATGTTTTATGAGGTGATTTGGTTGTGTTTCAGCTTTTTAAAAGATTAAAATATTTTCGATCTATTAAGTGAAAGATTTTTGATCCACTTGGTGAAACAGCGCCTGGCTTTTTTAAAAAAAATAAAAATAAGGCGCCTGATTTGTAGGCGTGTCCTTATTATTATCCACCGAGACCGACCGAGGGGCTTGTTATCCAAGTCACAATTGGATCATATCGATCGTTTGATTCATTCGATCGCCTTTCGGCTTTGTTTGGCAAATAGGATTGGGAAATAATATCCCACCCTCCAAAAGACAATATTACATCCTAGCCATCCATTCGTCACACCTCATTTAATCCTAGCCATTTATCCATTTCCATTTTCCTATCCCACCTATCATATCCCATTTGCCAAAGACACCCTTCGACCGGACATGGTGTAGTACGTCTGAAGCTTAGGGCCCATCTGCTGGGCCAGCCGCCGTATGTGTTGTCAAGCTCGGAGGAGTAATGATCCAAAGCGTCCGTACGTGCATCCATGGCCGCCGCGCCCGCCGCTCCGATGGTCCCCGGCGCTCTCGGCCGGCCGGTCTGGCCACCCGGTCGCCGGCGGCCTCGAGATCAGCGCTCCTCCTCTGGGTCCAGTGTGCTATCTCGTACCGTTCATCGATGACCTCAGTGGCGGAGCCACCGCTCGGCGACCCGTAGACAGTGGCCCAAGCTCGTCGCAGCGAACACGTTGTAAACTTTAATACTCCATCCGTTTCATAAGGTAAAACTTTCTAGCATTTTCTATATACATATAGATGTTAATAAATCTAAACGCATACATATGTCTAGATTTATTAACATCTAAATGAATGTGGGCAATGCTAGAAAGTCTTACATTGTGAAACGGAGGAAGTATAACATACCCCCTCCGTCCCATAATATAAGAGATTTTAAGTTCTTGCTTGCACTGTTGGACCACTCGTCTTATTCAAAAAATTTTGAAATTATTATTTATTTATTTTGACTTACTTTATTATCCAAAATACTTTAAGCACAACTTTTCGTTTTTTATATTTGCACAATTTTTTTAATAAGATGAGTGGTTAAACACTATAATTAAAAACTCAAAATCTCTTATATTGTGGGACGGAGGGAGTAGAAATGAACACATAATTTTCATAGCAAATACTTATTATAATTAGATTTATCTGAGTTTTAAAAATTTTCTAGCTCCGCCACTGGATGATCCCTCGTTGTTGTGGGATCATTGGATGAAGTAAGTCAATAGGGATGTCAATCGGGCACGACGGGCATGTGTAGTGTAAGCCCACGGCCTGTTGTAACATTGGTATGGTCTGGGCTCTTATGCTTCTCGGTAGCATGCTGGATGTATGGAGTTATATGTAAAACCTTTGCTTTTCTGTTCTTTATTCTGGTTTGAACAAGAGTGTCAGGTGTGGAGGATGAACAGCAAGCTTGCTATAGTTGCTACCCATGCTTCAACTTGGCAGCAACTGTTTGGACACAAGTTTGCAGAGATCACTGAACTCGGATACAGGTAAGCGTATGTAGACAACGCACTAGTCATTTCAGAATCTGAAGAGCACCAAGGTATGGAAGCATACCATAGGCACCTGGCCGTCAGAGGATTGCCATCATGCCATGAAAAACAGGTAGTAGTATTCATCTGGGAGCTGCCAAGCACAATAGGTTCAAAATTCAACAAAAAAAAAAGAGAACTTTTTAAGACAAGCCACAATTTACATACTTAGTACGGTATATTACAGAGATAGGCAGAGATGCCAGCCAAAAGGATAGGGATAGTCATCAGAGATTCAGAGCTACGAGTTTCAGGCAAAGATGCATAGGGAAGATCCACCCAACTACACTGCAGAAATGCTATCTTTCCCAGGTTGGGATAGTCATCAGAGTTTTGAGCTTCAGGCTGAAAAACAAGATTGGCTGCCACACAGATCGGCGCAAGATCAAAACCACGTGTTGACAAGATTGGTAATTTGTAGTGGATACAATATCAAGTGCAACTCCAGATAATATATATATGAGAGAATTGATGAAAGTATCACACAGGAAGCATTAAGCAGCCTGACTTGATCTTTCAAAGACAAAATCGACCATCTACAGATTGACACAAGACAACCTCGTAGGCAAAATGGCTGTTTTACAATACGCCACAGATTTCACTACACACGTAAATAAACTAATAGCGGAGATACTTCAGGTAAAACACTGCACCCCTCAGCGGAAACTTGCTACAGCAAACTTGGTCCACACATTTGCTGTCCAGATGATGAAAGCTCGGGCAACTATTTGTTCTGACCTGTCTGTTCCAGTGATCTCGGAGCTGCAGGGACACAGAAGATACTTCAGACAAGGACAAATCAATACATATTCGTTAAGGAATCGATGCATTAAGTTATCAAGAAGTTACGGTCAAAACCCCATAAGAAAAATGCTGCTAGCTAATGAGAGAGCATCCACCAGTGTTCCCAAATATCAGATACCAATGGAAAATGATGTTTAGATATGCCTCTAAATATAAAGGCAGATCTGTAATACTTAGTTGCAGAGTTCCAGGTCATCCAGATTAAGTCAAAATAGTTTTAGGCTTTTAGCATTTTAGCAATGTGGACTGATCCACCTTCAGCCAAATCACTAGTGATTTGTTGCAATAGACGATGCATAAGGCGTGCAGTTATATTTGTATTCTGTATTTTAGGAATATACCTCCAAAGGCCAAAGAACATGTTGTATTTGTTCACTTGCTTTATTCCAAAATCAAGGATACAATCAGACTTGTGTCTTCAATTGTAGGACTGGTAAATTTCATGCGATATCCTCACCCTTTTCATGTCTTATGTCTTACCGAGTTACCGTTACTCAAGTTATCTGAGGCTATGCCAATAAACATCAATGAAAAATTTAAACATGTGACATAATTTATTTGTAATTGTACAGGTACAACTAACCAGCAAGGTCCAAGTTATCACCAATATTAGCATAATGCGCATCTCAATGGAAAAGCATGTGAATGCTTGAATGATTAATTTGTCTCATGAAACCTTGAAATCAAAGTATGGCCAAGTGCTACAGATATTGCACATACCCATTCCAGCAGCATCTGAACCTCTCATGATCCGCAGTTTCCGACAACTAGTAGTAAACAAGCTGAAAATGATGTACAAGATATTAGATGGTAACCAAGAATGATTGTAAATAACTGCTGAAACATCGGGAAAAAAAAACATGGTAGCTCAGTCAAACAATTCATAGGTCATATTGAACTTGTGAACAATTGTCTGTTGATATACGAAACAGTGTAGTACTGAGGGGTGGGAGTGACACATTTTTATACAAGATAAATTTTTATTGGTAGACTGTACAAACTCTTGAAATGTGCCAACTAAAAGTATGAAAAAACATTGCCCATAGAACTCGAACTTTCTCAAAGAGAACAATCAAAATTCAGAAAGGATTTATAATTCTAATTCATACTGAAGAGTGAAACTGGAGTACTCAGAGAACTCTAGAGAGAGAGACTTGAATAAACATTTTACACGAGTCCATCTAACTTTTCAGCAAGTTACAGGGCATTGGTTTGCATAATTTTAGTTGACTCCAAATATCATCATAAGTGTTAGTAATGTGTTATCGAGTTCAAACCACTAGAAGAAGTAACATTATTGGTAAATCAAGCTCCCATCATACACTATCAAGATCTCCTAACTACAGTTACTGCATCAACAGCAGAAGAATACTGTTATCTGAATGTCTGAACGTATTCTATGCAAGACAAGAATGCCGCAAGAGAAAATCATAAAAACCATCACAATTTAAATAAGATAAGATGCATGATCACAAAGTTAGAACTCACTCCCAAGGAAGATCACCAACAAGCATCCAGTCAGCATCCTTGTCTTCATAGGTAAGAACATACTCTTGGTCCTTAAGGGCATCAGCCCTAGAACCATCAGTCAGCCTGTCTCTTTTTGATGTTTTATGTGAACTGCTCCTACCTGTATTGCAAAACAAGTCAACCATTAATATGTTTCCTGGATATATGTAAAATACAGACAATAGAAAGCACTTTTGTAGTTGAATACACACGAGCGTCCCAAAATCAAGGTATACATGGGCTTAGTAAAAATGGAAATGCTATTTCAACTTACACAAACATACAGTGCAAACACAATAACTGTGTCAAAATATCGGTAAAGTAAGCAAATCAAATTTTAAACAAACATAGTTACCACAAGAGTTCTCTTTTTACTAATGGACTTCATTATCACTTTTCTATTGTTTCACCGCCGCATAGGAAAACAGGGTTTAGCATCTAAGCACAGCACTTATTGTTCTACGGTTAGTTCTTGGCTACTTGACTCAGATGAAGAAATATGCTTAGTCAAAATAATCTGGCAACTGTAGTCCAGCTAGACCAAATCCACTAGTAGCCATGCATCAGCTTCCCCTTCTATCATTACATTATTTTAGAACTCCGAAGATCTTCCAAAAGCGAGGAAAAAAGACATGGATTATATCAGTCTTTTTATTAGATAATGGAATATTTCATTACACAGAATATCTGTCTTAACTACATATTTAATGCACACAAAATATCGTTCTATTTCATCAAACTAATGCACACAAATTGATTTTTTTTGGATAATGGAAGTATAACTTACTTCCAGTCTATGTACCAAATAAGGATGCACGCAATGACACAAGTACACAACCAAACTAATTGGCATCTAAAGCTACATGCAAAAGAAAGCAAATTGAACAAATCTACAAAGAAACAAACAGAAAACAGAAATACTCACCAGTGATAAAGCAGCTGAACATCTTCTCAAGAGCAAGTGAAAGATCTTCATAGCTTGAATAGGTCTTGAGGTCAACCTTCCTAAGGTATGGGGCTCCATCCATGCTAACCTTAACATAGCAACATCCTACCTCACTTTTGCCTTGGTCTTCCCCCTTTGTCTTTGTGGCACTGGCGGCCAATGTATTCTTCCGGTAGCTTCGCACAGGTGGCCATCCAACAACTTGTGCCCTAGCGCATAAACACATACTATCAGACTAAATGTTTCAGAACAAAACATATATCTAGTGACATATGATCTTCAACTAACCACCAACTTCATGAAAAAATTGAACTCAGGTCCCTTGAACCCTTCAAGACCTGGTTACAAGTAGTTTATTACATATCTCTATCCTAACTCCTAAGCAGTTTAGTTATATCACCTGAGCAACAGTACCAGTGCAGGTGGAAAATCAAGAGAGGCAGCACCATTTGGTCACAACACCTGGTTATGTGACAATTTTTCAACAAAGCTCGAGCTTTTTCCAGTCAGGTGGCGGTTTTACCAGGAATCTTTTTCTTCCGTGTTCAGTTTAGCAAGTACCCCCTCCAATGATGAACATAAAGCGCACGTGTGTCTCAAGATTCAAACTTTATAACTGTTGACTAACAATTAGCACAGCAAAATATACTATTACTATGTATTTGATCATTTCTACATTCCAGAGAAAATAACCATGAGAACTAGTATCAATTTAATTGGTCACTACTGCTCCTATTTTAACATCTAGAACTAATGAAGCGCCATCAAACCAGCAAATCAAATATTCCTATATTTAACAAGCTATAAATTAGCCCAGAGAGCTCTAAATCAAACCAACTCAAAACCAAACAGGAGCACGCATGCTTACTTGGCAGCTCGCGGAGCTCCAGCAGCAGCTTCCCCCAACCCCTTCTCCTCCTCCTCCTCCTCCCTCACGCCCCTCTCATCATCACCGGCGGTGGCAGCAGCACGACGGCCCTCGGATCGGTCGAGGGAGTCGACGAACCCGCGCTTGGCGCCGCCCCTGGGAGGAGGAGCAGGGCCGAGCGTGAGCGCGGCGTCGACGACGACAGCCTCCGCCTCAGCGCGGGCGGGCGACTCCGACCCCGGGAGGCCGAGGCGGAGCGCGAGGTGCGCCCCGACGACCTCGGCGACGGGGGTCGACGCGCAGCAGGAGGAGGAGGACGAGGCCGGGGACGCCGCGAGCCCGATGTAGTCTCGCGCTTCGAGCGGCGGCGGCATCGGAATCGAGAGATGCACACGCAGAGAGGAGAGGAGAGGAGAGGAGAGGGGGAGAAGAGGCGAAAGCGAATGTCTTTTTGTTCTTCTCTTGGAGAAGGGGAGGAGAGAGCTTAAAGGGAGAAGTGGCCGACACGGGGAGGAATTGGCTTTCTATTTTGTCGCCCTTTTTTCGGGCGGGGTGGTTTCCCGGGTGCGCATAGTGTTTGCGCCATTTTTATCCTTTCCCAGAGTAGACTTTAGTATAAACGTGTGTGACAGAGCATCTCCGCTGATGACCGTTTTGAGACCCTGAAAGTTTGACCATTTGGCCCTTTCAGAAATACATATTTCATAACTAAACCTTCACGAAAACTTTTGTTTAAAAAAATCATCGGTTTTACGTTAATATCAATAGCTAGCAACATCTCAGCACAAATAAATTTGGTGGCTTGACGCTCGGACTTTGCCACATAGGCACTAAGGCACCTCATCTACCCTAAGAGCCAATCACATTGGCACCGACCTTATGAAAGGTCATAAAGTCCATTTTAGCGATATTGGTGTTATGATGCAGTGGTAGGTTGTATCGCTTGTTGTGTTGAAACCCAAGCTCAAGTCCTATACCCAAGAAAGATAAAATATCATGCACAAAGCGTTGAACCTAGAATCTTATGAAATGCGGCCAAATACCACTGGACCACTTGTTGTATAGTGTGCGATTTAATTTAGCGTTATCCAAACCAGGCAGCAAAATCCCATCACAAGTAATATAAGATAGATGGCACTTTTTAGACGATGAACCTCAGCCTCAAGAAAGGGATAATGTTGAGATTGATTTCATTTTCTTTTAAGTTTTTGTTTTGGATCTATTTGTTAAATATGTTATTCAAAAGGATCATCCAATCAAAAATATTCATGTTTGAGATCAGGGTCGTTTGCCAAGTCAACAAAAGGCGAGTTTAGAGCAGTGACATGGTTCTACGCTTTGGAAGACAGGCGATGCTTGCATGTTAAGGATAGGTCGATAGTGAGTATGACATGAACAGACGTGCTTTATGGAAAATGCGAGATCAACACTCTAGGAGGGAAATTGCAGCAGCAGCCTCGGCCGTGACAAGGAAAGCTCACGCAGGCCGGTGGTTAATACACGGAGTACAGTAAAGCGGCTTGCTTTGGTTGCCGCGACAGGATCTTGGAGAGGATTCCCTTTTCAGTTTTCTAATCGAGAATTTTTCAGACAGCCGCTGCACACGCCACTCGATCTTCCCATATCGTCTTGAGTTCTTGACAGCTGCACCCATCGATCAAAACACACCTGACCGGCTGGCCCCCTCCAAAGTTTAAAGTTAAAACAAGAAATCTATACACATCGAAGTCCAAGCTTCTCCTTTCCTGTATAAGCACAGTTGGACATCACCGATTTGAGCTGTGGTTAAACAAGAAAATTGTTAAGATTAAGATGAAATGAGGACACGGAAAATAAAAGATTCTATGATTAATTAAGTTTTAATTATTATAATCTTAACAAATGGATTTATGTGCTATTTTAAGACAACTTCCGTGCATAAAGTTTTTACATGAAACACACCATTTAATAGTTTGGAAAATATGTTAATAGAAACCGAGTTAAAATCTACAAATAGGACTACTCCCTCCGTTAAAAAAAACTCAATCTAGGTGAGAGTATAACCCATCCTACGTCTTATTACCATAAATCTAGATATGAGATTATCCAGCTTAGTTAGATGGTGTTTGAATCTCCTGAAGATGAAGATGAAGATTAAGTGTTTCACGCAAAACGAGATGGTAATAACGGTTAATTAAGTTTTAATTATTAAAAATTTTAAAAAAAAATAGATTATTCATATAGAAAGTTTTCACACGAAATGCACCGTTTATTAGTTTGAAAAACATGCCACGAAAATTTTAATCTTCATCCAACTTTTATTGGAGAAAAGAAACTACGATAGGTCATATCCCTGACTTAGGCCCCCTTTGATTCAAAGGAAATTCATAGGAATTTTAAAGGATTTTATTCCTATAGGAATTTTTCCTATATAGCCATTTGAATCAAAGGAATGAATCCTATGGAATCATATGAAATTCCTATGGAATGCCTCTTCTCATGTAAGTTTTGGAGGAAATTTAGCATGAGGTAGAACCTCATGTTAAGAATCCTTTGAGTCTTTATCTCTCCTCAAATTCCTATCTTTTTCCTACGGCTCAATCAAACGGTCATTCCTATATTTTTTTGTGTTTTGTAATCCTCTGATTTACACTTGTATTTCTGTGAGAATCCTATGTTTTTTCTATTTCTCTTTTTTTTCATTCATATGATTCAAAGGAGCCTTAGATTAGTTTTTTTTTTTTTTTGAATGGAAGGAGGGGACGGTGTCGTGAGAAGCGGAGCGGAAGGTGGGGGCGGCCACTGCGTTGGGGCGCAGGGACAGCGAAGGGTGCCCGACACTCCACCCGACAGCGCCCGCAGAGACATCGCCACTCCACTCCCATTTCCGTGTACCCCCACCCCTCCATGCCGCTGCGCTGCCGCCTCTTCCACCACGCGCTCGTTCTTCCAACCCTCCTCCACCCCGCGCACCGCACGCTGCCCACGAGCGGCTCGCGCGCGGCGCGGGATGGTGCGGACGGCAGCATTGACCACCCCACACACACGACGCGCTCGCGGGCGGCCATGCCGTACGTTGCGTATCGCGTCGTCGTGCCGTGCGTGCGTGCGTCTCGGTTTGCTTCCGCGTTGGCGTTCGAGAGACCCCCGGGATGGCCGGAATCCCGTGGCGATTTTTCGCCGATCCAGCAGCGCGCGACGACCGCGTCGGGCTTGGTGTGGTTGGTTGGTGCCCCGACCGAACGGCCAACGATAATTATGCTGCTCCTTCGCTGCCATGCCCGCGTTGTTTGCGTCTACACGGCTCCGTCGTAGCACGAGTGCTAGTACTACTACACTACTACTCAATGTCGAACCATTTCTTTATGGGGAGGAGGGAATCATGGATCGTAATTTCATCAGCCTGTACCGCCACCGTACCAGCAGAGGCAGAGGCCATGTACTACACGTTGTAATTTGCAAATTGCAAAGGGTTAAGAGGTGGAGGTGAAGGTGGTGGTGGTGGTGGTGGATCAGATATTCATTCGGGATGATCAGATGAGAATTGATGGCGCTGCCGCCGGTGGCCTCTTGGCCGCGCGACAATGCCTGCGCAGGGCATGCATGCGCTAGCTCATGGATGCATGCAGCAACAGCAAGTCAGCCAGCCAGCAAGGAGGAGTATTTACTAGCCTGAGCCCTCTCTGGTCCGGGCCCTTCCATGCGTCCATCATCATGCACGGTGCTTGCCATCATGCCTGCCACCGCGAGCCCATTTATTCCTCTTCGCTGCAACTACTGCACCTCCCCATTTCGATTTCTCCTGCTAGAGTTGCGAGTGATAGTGCTTGCTCCTAATAGCAAGTTAATAGTATAGCCCACTACTAGTTTCAATTTATTTATATCTGATCTAATAGTCAATTTATATAATAGTTATTTACTATACTATAAATATATGGTCACACCTGTCATACACACATTGTGCCTTGGAGTCTGTACTGCAGCTGGCTACAGATCTGTAGCCCGCTGCTCTTCTCTCTCATCTTTTATCTCATTAAAATATATTTATAGCTGGCTAATAGCCCGCTATTGTACCTGCTCTAAGCTCCTTCTCACATTCACTCGTCACTGTAGCTGCGAGGACGATTGTCGACTGCAACAGCAAACCTCTAGTACCAGTCTATCCATGTGTACGTTTGGGGAGCTTCTGACGGCGGCAGCTTCTCTTAAAATCTTCAACTGCCAGAAGCTCCCTCAAACAGTTTAGATTTTCATCCAGATTTTAAAAAGCCGTAATTATAGAATTCAAAAAATGAGTTAGAAACCAGAAGCTGTGTTTACCAGTTTATCTAGATTCTCACCAGCTGCTTATCAGAATCTTAAGCTTCTCCAAACATGATCATATGTCTATACATAGGCTGTGTATAGTGCATTCCCCTCTGTCCAAGAAAAGGGACGTATATCCTCTTATAGTACAATGAATCTGGACAGCCCTTATCGGTGATATGGGCCCGGGGGTATCACGTCTAGAGGGAGGAGGCCGCCCTCAAACCCACGTGGCTCCCCGCGAGGGGGGATCAAGCCGGGGGTGGAGCGGTGGCTACCCCCACCTAGTTAGAGGGAGGAGGCCGCCCTCAAACCCACGTGGCTCTTCCCGAGGGGGGTCGAGCCCGGGGTGTTGGGCGGCTGTCCCCTCCTAGCTTGGGGTCAGGCAGCCCCCCAACCCACGTGGCTCCCCGCGAGGGGGGATCAAGCCCGGAGTGGAGCGGTGACTACCCCCTCCCAGCTAGAGGGAGGAGGCCGCCCTCAAACCCACGTGGCTCTCCCCGAGGGGGGTCGAGCCCGGGGTGTTGGGCGGCTGTCCCCTCCTAGCTTGGGGTCAGGCAGCCCCCCAACCCACGTGGCTCCCCGCGAGGGGGGATCAAGCCCGGAGTGGAGCGGTGACTACCCCCTCCCAGCTAGAGGGAGGAGGCCGCCCTCAAACCCACGTGGCTCTCCCCGAGGGGGGTCGAGCCCAGGGTGTTGCGGCGGCTGCCCCCTCCCAGCTTAGGGTCAGGCCGCCCCCAAACCCACGTGGCTCCCCCTGAGGGGGGTCGAGCCCGGGGTGGCGTGGCGGCTACCCCCTCCTAGCTAGAGGGAGGAGGCCGCCCTCAAACTCACGTGGCTCTCCCCGAGGGGGTCGAGCCCGGGGTGTTGTGGCGGCTGCCCCCTTCCAGCTTGGGGTTGGGCCGCCCCCAAACCCACGTGGCTCCCCCCCGAGGGGGGTCGAGCCCGGGGTGGCGCGGCGGCTGCCCCCTTCAAGCTAGAGGGAGGAGGCCGCCTCGCTTGGGATCGAGCTGCCCCGATCCCCTCCACGTATCAGCCCACATGTACAGGGTTAGGTGGGCGCGCCTAACGCCCACCTAACTGCATTTAAAGCGGTCTATGCAACCGCGCCATGCCGCATTTAATGCGGCGTGCTGCGCATCTGACCAGTCTGTGACCGGTTGAATGACTGATGGGACGGCGACTGTGTACCCCCGCCCTGTCATTGTG